CCATCTAATTAGTTGTAATTTGGGTACCGGTCGTACCTTAAGTCAGTTCCATAACCACAATGCACCCAGAATGGCAACAAAGCTGCATCTATAGCATAAAGCCAAGGATTCTCTGTATGCCGGGCTTTGAACGCCTAAGAGATTGCTAAAAGGATTGTAAAATGAAGAAAGTAAGGGCCCATAGGCTTAAGCAAAACACTCAGGAGTTTTCACATGCCATTACCAACATTCTCCACCCGTGTTTCTCACCACCTGAAGCGAATTCAGGCCGGGTGGGCCTTCCTGGAGAACAAGTGATTATACCAGGGAAGATGTAATCAGGCTGGGAGGCTGGCTCCCCAAACTGCAAGGTCGGCTCATTAACAAGTAATGCCCTTCCTTTTGGGGTAGCTCCCATGCAAGGCAGCTTTCTAGCCTTGGGGAGTCCGGCTCTAGCCATTGGGAAGAGGGAATGAAGATTTCTCTTCCAAATGAGGTTGTCAGGGAGCTCATTTGCACCACCCAGCGAGTGTGTGTGTGTGAGCTGGTGAAGGTGATGATTGATGAGGCTGCAGACCCTTAAGTGATTCTAGTGATGGAAATCCACAGCAAAATCCACTTAGGAAGATAAAACAGAACTCCTGTTATCTGTGGGAGGTAAAACCACAAGGCTTTTGCCCCTACATTTCAAGTCACCCTACTGGGTTTGGGAATAGAGAGTGCTCATTTACTTAGAATGCATGTTTCGGTATAATGTTATTATACAGACTTTAAAAATAACTTTATGTTCCTTGACTCTCCTGTAAAGGATTTTGATGAGACTTCTTTTTTTTTTTGCTTTATTGGCAGGGAGAGGACTGGATCTGATCGATTGCATCATTGATAGCTATGTAATATATCCATGTTTAAAATATCTAAGTGTGAACCAACAGTACCCTTCTCTCTGCAAAGGCAGTAGATATTCTTTTCGGTGAAATATAGCTGCAAAAAATAATGTTTTAAAAGGCTAGGCTACATATGTAAACAGATTTGTTTAGTGAATGCAGCCATCACCAGTTAATGTCTTCAGAGTAGCATTAAAAAAGAGAGAATCCGAGCCCCAAAGCTGTAAAATGATAAAGCCAAAATGAAAATTGTATTTTACCTTATTTCCTCATATTTGGTGTGCTTGCTCTTTAAATGCCAAGAAAATCTATTTTAAGAGTCTGGTGAGGATTTGTAGGCTTTGATCTTAAAATTGAGAGTATGTTTGTAATATCCCATTTTAGTAGCAGAGTGTGAGTTTCAGACACAGAGTCCCAATTACACACCTCCATAAGCAAGGCGAAGGGTGAAAACCCATTGTAGTTCTGCGGTTAAGGCAGTTCCAGATTTTTAAGGGCGTTTTTACAGAGTCCACAGTAAAAACCTACAGAGCGAATCAGTGTGGCCTGCCTCTGGCTTTCATCATCAGAGAGCCATCATTTACTGCCACTGTCTTAAATACAACGAACCAGAGCATCTCCTTCATGCTCATCTGTGCATTAGATTATTCTATACGTCTATGCGGTGGAAGACGTGAACGCGAACTAGTTACTCACAACCACATTACCCTGTGCCACGTTTATTTCCTTTTAAAAGATTGCCTACTTATACGCAACATAAATTCACAGAGCACTCCTTGCTCAGTCATCAGTCTGAGGCATCCTGGGGCAACCCACGCTTTTGGTTTTCTTGCAAAAGTGCTTTATCACATTTTATTCTCACCTATTTCTAGAGTCCAGACGAATGTGGCTGATCCATGTATTTTACGTCACTATGATAAAAAGCATGAATTTATGTATTTGCAGGCAAACATTATACATGTGAATTCATGTCAGTTCCCTTGATACCAAGGAAATATTGCAAAACAATTAAGGAGTCAGCTAAGGTTTCAGTTTGCTTTGCATATCTTTTTAACTCTGCTGATACTTGATATCTAGCTTTAGCTTAATTTTTTTTTCCAAACAAGTAGCTTGGTAATCTCTACAGAATGCCCTAGGTTTTCAAGACAATATTCAATTGGCTTTTATAATTTTTGCTCTGAGCAACCGTAGTAATTTTATTGTACACAAATGCATAATAAAAACATCACGATGCAAAAATAAAAATTAAAAACCTCCAGGAATTCCAGAAGGCAAACACAGATTCTCAGGACCTAGAGTTGAATCATCAGGGTTGTGTTTTAAATGAGAATATATTTTAAGTTAAAAAAATATGATTTTTACCAAGGCATTTACAACCAGTTGGATTAACATTTTTCAACTAGACCAGCTTGTAAGTATAATGCCCAAACATTGGTAATTTGCTACTTACCTGTGTTAAAAATGTTGCAGTTTTATCAATATATTTTTTACATAAAATGTTGATATTATATACTGGCACAGAAAGGTGGGCTTGAGCCACAAGAGATAGTCGAGTCACATAACTAAGAACTGAGTTTATGAGAAAATGTACGGATTTTCATACGGTCACCTTATCATTCTTAAAAATCAGTTTCTACTTTAATATAGAGCCACAGTGTTACCGCGCTGTTCAAGAACAGGAAAATTCACGTAAAAATGTGCTGTCAGAGGTTCATTTTAAATAGTTTTCACAAACCACATATTGAAAAAAGGTGACTTCCCAGAAACACCCTCCAAACCATGGACGTTTCCTGTCATGGGTCTCAGTGTGACCCCCCCCAACATTGGCCCTTGTGAGCTGGGCAGGGGTCACTGTCCCCACTGGAGAGATGGGAAAACTGAGGCTCAGGGGGTGGAGCTGCTCCAGTCGGGCTGCCCACACTACACACACCTCTGCTTTTATAGTTAAAGGAAAATCTATGTCAACATTTTGTTCGGACCTATGTGTGTTTGGAGACCGCACACAGGAGCTTCATCTCCCTCCAAGAGTCTGAGCCCAAGGGGCCCCGGGCAGACGTGGCGTGAGTTACAAGTGCAGAAACACACTGTCTTCTGCCTAACCCAGTCTTCACATTCGGCTCAAGGGGGGGAAAAAAAAACCAGAGTGAAATAAACAGAATGAAGCACTTGACCTGACGTAAAATAAACTCCTGAAATATTTATTTTTATATTGGTCCATTTAATAACTTATTTATTAGACAGTATAACCAAATGACAGCCTTATGTAATAAAGTCATAAATACAAAGAAATAACATGTATACCATATTTATAAGCAATAAAAATACGAAGTACTCATATATCTTTCAGTCTCTGAAGTGCCATGTTGTCCTCTAATGAGGTCGGCTGTTGATTTTAACGCGAACAGAAGGCTGAGGGAAGGAGCGCCAAGGACTGACTAACTAAAGGTGATGAAACGAGAGAAAACACCAGCCGGCCTCCTGCTGTTCACGTCAGCAGCATTTGTCATGGTGCTCTTAGAAGTGCCTCTGCCCGTCACAGAACCCAAACACCCCAGATGCCTTCGTGTGGATGTCTCTTCATGCCCCCTCGTAAAACATAACTGCATCTTACTTCAAATTTAGTTCTGCGTCCTGCTACTCTCTTCTCCGAGGGCCAGTGAGATGCAGACCCTTAGTCCAACCATAGTTTTTCCTTTACGAAACCCGCACTGCGTGTCCGTCTGGAAAACGGGGCCAAGTGCTGCTCCACCCCCCACGCACATTACTTGACTCTGTATCTTCTTCACATGTCAGCTTCCTTTCATCCCTGGTCTCTGGTTGAGATGTTGAATTGGAACTTGAACCACGTCAATGATTATATATAATCAAAAGCAGATTGCCTTATCCCGAAAGCATTTTGAATGCTGTCTTTTTGCACACATCTCACCCCAAATGGTCCTGTCTGGAAAATGTTGTGTACAGGTTGAAATGTGTGAGGTGTGCATCTCCCATCTGGACCCAGACCGGTCTAGACCTGCATGCGGAGGTGTGTTTTCTAGTCAGGCAGGGCAGGGGTTCACTTCCCGCTCGTCCCTGGCCCTTGACCGGTACTTACACACAATCTGAGAGCTGGGAGACGATGTGAAGGGAGAAGAGCAAGCCAAACATCGAACCCATTTATTCTGAATCTTAAATTACGAGTTTTATCAGCAATATTTTGGTTACATTAATACACAAAGGACAAATGGACATCCGGTTTGAGGTCTCTTCTTGGACGGCTTTGGGATTAGTGACATGTTCTTGGCAAAGGGACCCTGTACCCATCAGCTCTCAGCTAGATTTTAATAATATCGTTGTACAAGGTGCCAACACAGGAAGGATTTGAGAACCGGCTCCCAGCGTGCCTCCGGCCAACAGCTGTAACCACTGAGATGGCAGGGAGGCTTCCAGCCAGGTTCCTAGGGAAGTGGCCACGCCCCTTTCCTGGGCCAATCAGAAGGGCATCCAGGGAGAGTGGCTGTCCTGCCCGTCATCCTGGAAGCATCTGATGCTAGGTGTGCTCACATGGAGTGGATCCCAATCAATGAAGCAAGCTGCTGGAAAGACCCAGGTCCCTCGGCCAGGGCGCCCATACTCAGGAGACTCGGTCACACAGCTCCTGTGACCCAGGACACCGAGGAACATCAGGTACTCACCATATTCCAGAAAGTAAATTAAAAACAAAAAAATCCAGGTCGGTTGTTCTAAGGTGCCTCTGAGGGGTCTCTTCAAAAGAAGCGGAGCAATTGCCCATTTGTGGTTTTCACTTTGATATGCAGGTACCTTTTGTTTGGTTTGGCCTCATCCAAAACAGAATATACAGGTATCTTTTGTTTGGTTTGGTTCGATCCCATCCAGGATTCCACATACATGTTCTCTCCCGCACCCCAGCACGAAGGATAAAAGCTGGGGTGCGCAGGGCGAGCTGAGTGAGGACAGGGAAGTAAAGCTTTTCCAGGAAAACACACACACACACAGACAGTACAGAACAAGAGTCGCAGTCCCATCGTGCAAAACTCGCTTCTCCAGGTAAAGCACTTCCGGACAGGTTCACAATGCCCCCCTCCCCCTCCCGAGTCCCCCCATCCTCCCCAGGGAACACACAGAACAAAAGCGATGCCATCCTTTTTCTTAAGGCTGAACAGACACACGGAGACCACATTTCAGGCCGGCCGTGGGGGCGACTTGAAGGACTCCTGCTCCGAGGGCTGGGCAGGGCAGCGATGTGGCGTCCAAACAAACGAAGAAACGCCAGTGGTCCCCACAGTAAAATCCCAGATCGACTTTACAATCACAGGTACAAATTGCTCAGATCAATAATGCCATTTCTCCTGAAGACCTTGTCATCTAAAACTAATTAGAGGCCAGGTTCCCGAGGAATGGTCAACAGTCAAAGAAAATACTGGAGATTTGGAAGGAGATCATTCTTCTACCGAGACGGTCTGATGGAATTTGGAAACAAGTCGTCCTGGTTTGGCCAAGTCCGGGGGATGAGGGAGGGTGGTTCCTGGGTCCCGAGGGCAACTCCCCTGCTGCCCCAGCTCTGCCTTTATAGAGGGAACACCAAGAAGCCCGAGAACGTGGAGTACTTCCAGCCCCCCATGAGGTTGCCCCGCTCCAGTTTGAGGTGCACTTTGTCCTCTCTCTCCATCAGCAGTAGGACCCCGTTGCTGGCTGCTTCTCTGGTCACATCTTGGTCTCCTGCGAACGCTGAGATCACTGGGTAGCCGTTCTGCATTAAACTGACCTACAATGCAGAGAGTAAAGCTCAGCAGACCCCGCGGGGCGACCTGTTCTTACACACCTGTCCACTTCTCTCCCTCCCCTCCCCAACCCTTTCTATGGGGGCCATCCCTGGGGCCTGACCAGAGGTCTCAGCTGGGTCCCAGCCCCAGGTGCCAGCCAGCCCCAGGGCCTCACAGAGGGGGTGACGGGGGTCAGCAGCAATGGGGGATGAGCAACTCAAAGCTTCCAGAGCTACCCACCTGGATGGTCTGTCTGTTGTACACTTTTACCACGTGGAAGCTGAAGCTATAAATCCCTTTTCTCGGTGCTACAAATATACTGGAGGCGAGATCGAAATGGTTGCCAATATTTACTAACACCTGAAAAAGAAGAGGGAACACAGCACCGACATAGAGAGCCCCCGCCACCCGGACCCCCGGCATGTGATCAGACAGGCACAAGAGCGACCCCAGGTCCTCTGTGCCCTGCCCAGGGGGGTGTGGGGGGGTGGCACAGTGAAAACACCTATAGGGAAGTGATCAAGTGATCACAAAGGTATTCTAACAGACGGTGATGCACAAAGATTTTTTACAGGATATTCATTTATGACTTGAAAAGGGGGTGCCCATTTTATTCATGGGGAGCGGGGCAGAGAGAAAGGAAGACAGTGATGTCAGTAAACCAACTAGAAATCCAGTCTGTTCAGAGGTGTGTGGGATTGACATGGAGCTGAGACGAAAATGAATGGGGCAGAGGGAATGGGTGCAGAACGGGCTGTGGGGCAAGAGGTCAATCAAATGCAACCACGCTCTTCCGCTGAAGCCGGGGACCTAACCTCCCCTGCTCCAGGACAGAGGGACTGTGTGAAGTTTGGGTCTCTGTGTTCCCCCAGCCCCAGCATGCACCCTGGCAGCATACAGTAGGTGCTCAATAATGCCTGCTGAGTGAAAGACTGCAGTCCATAAACACAGGCTGTGCCTGCTCTCCTCTCTCTCCCCTGAGTGATGTTTGCTTCCTTGGCTGAATCATGATGTCATGTAATGAGCCCCACAGCAGCTTGGACACCTTTGGCTCAACTCCAGAAATTCCATCACAGGCGAGAATAGCGACCAATCCAGCTACGGGACCTGAGGTCACGTGACCCAGCAGAAGGTTCTCCTCGAATCAGAGAGGATGGGAGCATGGCATCATGAGCAGAACCTGAAGGGGGGAGGGTCCCCCATGGTAGCCCCATTCTCCTTCAGATGCTGAAGACGGGGTTGGGCCACTCTGCCTGGATCCCGTCCCCACTCCCACTCCCACACGCAGGCACAACCTCGGTGAACACACTGGAGTGTCTGCCTGGCATTCTCAGCCTTTAAGACAAACAGCCAGCAACAGCAGCACAGCCCCAGATGAGAGAGCCTGTCACCCGTTCAGAAAATAAATGTCATCCGAACACATTTTGCGGTGGTTTCTTGGGCACTCACTGTAGATGGATAACATGCAATTCCCGGAGCGCTGCCAACCTCTGCTGCGAGCAGGACTGGGAGCCAGCCGGCACCCGGAGCTGGGGCTGGGGCTCCACCTGGTCCCTAGTCTGTGGGGCTCACACAGACACGCACGCTCTGTGGTTAAAGACGGTGGGCCACCTTGTTCTCTGCTTCCCCAAGGCTGCATGTCAGTTGGCCTCAGGATGCTTCAAAGAGAATAAAGTGTTCTCCACTTGAGCCCTTGCAGTTGCTTCTTCCTACTCGTTACCGTTCACCTCGATTTTAAATTCAGGGCCCTGGCACATGCAGGATGCTGCTGCAGAGTCCAGAACCCCCAACCAGCCCAGAGAAGCAGTCTGCTTCCCCCTAACCGGGGACACCCCCTTCAACCCGCCCCGCCACAGGCTCCTCGGGCACAACACGCGAGTCCTGTTACTGCTTATCCTGCCTGCGTCACTGTGTCCTTGACACCCAGATGAAACGATGGACATACGAAGGCTGTGAAACTATTGTAGGACGTTGGAAGGTGAATTTTCCCAACTACCTCCTGCTTGTCATCCCCTTGATTTGAAAAAGATTAAAGTAAATAGTTTTGTCTTGTAAACAAAAACAGATTACAGACGGACTCCCTCCCACCACCATCCCAAATCCCCCCAAATTTGAAGTATGTACACACCTCCTAAGATAAATGAACACCCTGGCCTAAAATGAGGCAGGCGTGTGTGTGCAGGGTCATCGGCACTTGGGTGTGGGTGCCAGCTGGAGGGAAAGTCCAAGTGTGTGTGTACACTTGGCCCCGTGTGCTCACAGCCAAGAGGGCCCCATCTGAGACAAGCACTTTGTCAAAAGGAAGGGACCAATGAGTTCAAGTTTGGAGAGCACTGGTCAGTTTCCCATCTGTCTCTGAACAGCAATAGAAACCGATGGGGTTGACACCAAAGTAAGGTCACGACCTCACACCTTGAGCAGCCGCAGGCCGGAGAAGGGAGTGCCAAGGGGGGAGCGTGCTGATGACCCACACGGGAGAAGTTAAGTGGGTTAGGACAGTGCAAGCCATCGACCTTTTCTGTATTCCTGTAACCACACTACCTATTGATAGGTTGTAGATACCACATCAGTAGATTACATCGCGGAATACTGTTCTTACCACACACTGCGCTCACATAACCACGGGCTCTTTTCCATTTATATAACCACCCCCGCTATTTCCCCCCCATTCTTGCCTACGTATTTTTCTTGGGGGTAAATATCCTCAGTCCCTTGTACAATAAGCAATAGGTGCATCTTTCCTGAGCGTGGGCTGAGACTTCCTAAGAGCCCTTTCTGGGGTCTGGGGAGTTACAAATGCTCAGTCTCTGTGTTGGCCACCTGGGTCACTGCAGCCCACCGGAGGCAAATGACAGCCCCACCACGGCGAAAAGGAAAATGGGCAGAGCCCTTTTGGGAAGTACATTTCTGATCTCTCCACGTTTCTGGGACTCTTGGTCACTCAAGTGCCACCTGAGCTGGCAGCTGCAGAGAGGCCACCCTGTGGGAAGGGGAAATGGCAGGGAGAGCTCCCCAGAAACAGGAGAGAGAAGGGAGGGGGGCAGGGCAGGGCAGAGGGAAGGGAGGAGGAAGAGTCTGGACCTCCGGTCCGAGGTGCCTGGAGCCCTGCCCTGAGGCCAGAGCGCCCCAGGCCCCCTGTTCTCCCCCGGGAGGGAGGCACGGTGCGCAGACCTGCTGGCTGACCTGGTCAAAGTAGATGGTCATGGTGCGATTGCTCATCTCCGACGGCTCGTGGTTGGTGCTCCGAGTGGCCGAGAAGGCCACCTTGGCGCTTCCGGAGCGCACGGAGATGCCCAGGGAGGAGGTGACCGCACCGTCCCCCGAGGGGCTGGAGTCGCACACCACCAGGCACTTGCCCTCCAGCACGATGGGCTCCGTGTCATTCTGAGCGCCCACTGGGCAGCCGGCGGGGAGCAGCAGCAGAAGCAGGGCCAGCGCCGCCCCCAGGCAGGAGCTGTAACCGGCTGGATGGCGCAGCGCCCCCCGGAGCCGGGGCATGGTTAGCGGCGGCCCGAGGAGGCCCCAGCCGGGCGCCGGTATCCGGCCTGGGGCGGGCAGCACAGGGGACGGCGGCCAGCAGGGGCTGAAGGAGCGCAGGTGGTCCGGTGACACAAGGGGCCCGGAGTAGCCTCCTCTGGCCTCGGTCTACTGCTCTGATGGTTAAGGCCAGGGTCGTCCTCAGGAGAAAAGCTCCGGCAGACCTGTCAGGGCAAAGAACCCAAACCCTTAGACTGGGAGGTGAAGCTGTGCGGGGAGGGGCGTGGGGGTGGAGTGGGGAGCAGGTGCCCGCTGCGCAGCGCTGGGCCCCCTCACTGGAGGTTACCCTCTTGGTCCAGCGCACAGCCAACCCCCCTCCCCATTGGCACAACAGGTTCCGAGAAACCCCAGGTTCCGGCGCCCTGGACAGGACATTCCTGAATGCTCCCTGCCCCCCCCCCCGCCCCCCGCAGCGCACCCTGGGTGACTGGGGGTGGAGGAGTGGGGAGGAGGACTGGAAGTCCGGGCAGGGGCCCACGATTCTGTGGGGCCTCAGCACTAATACAGGGTTGAGGACCCTGGAAGACAGCGTTAAAGCCACCCTACATCCATTCGGCCTACGGCGGAGGGGATCTCGGGACTCAGGCAAAAGAAAAGCCACTAACGCCCTATCGCCTTCATTTCAGTGACATGGTCTTGAAAGCCACACCGAGAAACCTTTTTCCTTCCTCTGCTTTCCCTTCCACTCTCTTGTTTTCCCATCCCGGAGATTTTTACAAAGCAGTCCACTTAAGTGAAGATCTTATCCATTTTCCACTCAAAGATCAAATCCCCAAGAAGCTCCCTTGGGTGAGTACGAGAAAAAGAAGAGAGACCCCAAAGCAAACACCCACTTTCAGATTCCCGCAGCCAGCAGCGAGCGCCTTGGAGAGTCCCTCGGGTCCCTCAGGCGCAGGGCGAGGATTCAGCGGCCAGAGCCTGGAGCTGGGCTGATGGTGCAGCTTTTGTTCCCAGACCCCGGCTCCCTCTTGCTGGGCTAGGAGGCGGCCCCGCGGCTCTCTGCTAACTTACTCGCCGCCTGCACTTTCTCCAGCCCACTCTGCTCCCCCTAAACCAGGCAGGTCATTTCCATACCCAGCCCAGAAACAGAAAGCCCGGAAACCTCTCCCCGAGCGGCCTCCAAACAACTCCTCCAATAGTCTAAGAAGAGCGAAGTTGTGTCTCCATGAGTAGCCTCCGTCCTCAGCCCCAGATAAAATGATGTTGATATTCTCGGTGGCTTTTCCCGATGCCCAGAAGAAGACTAGCGATGGTCCCCATTGAAACACACGTATTAATGCAATCAACGCGCGGACCGCGGAGCACAGGGCCGGGTTGGTTACCTGCCACATCCATGACGAGCGAGCACTGATCGCTGTCCGCCAAGTTCTGCTCTGAGATGATGGGCAGAGCTAGCGGGAGGAGACACCGGGCACGACCCCGCTGCCTGCCCCTGGCCAATGCAACGCCGCCCCGCCCTGCCCCTCTCCCGCACCAGCCGTCCCCGGGTCCCCACGCACCGCGCCCTACGACGACCCGCACTCCGAGTGCCCCAAACCGAACCGCTATCCACTCCGAACCCTTCACCCTGTACGCGCGGTGCTTCACCTCCCGACGCTCCGCTCCGCAGCGCACCTGGTCCGCACCGCCTCCCGTACAGGGTCTGCAACGCTCCCGCGCCCGCAGCGCGGCTCCGTCTCCCCGTCCCAGCCCCACCGTCTTGGCCTCTCCCCGGTCTCCAGTCCGCACAGCCTAACGCCTGGACGAAGCCCGGCTCCCTCCCGGCCCCCACCCGGCCCAGCACCCGCTTCTGCCTCCCGCCGCAGCCTGCGCTGCTTGGTCTGGCTCTCACCGGAGCACTGACAGCACAATCCTACCAGAGGTCTCTCTCAGAAACTAGGCATCGTCAAAAGCACTGGTCACGCCTCTGATATTCAAGTCTTTCTTTTCTTTTCCAAATTCCCTCCAAATCTTAATCCTGAGCAGCGTTGCCACTTTCATAATTGGAGGGTGGGGAAAGGAAGCAGTTTTACTTCAAAATTAATAATAATACTAATAATAATTAATAATAATTAATTGGTTCAAAGAGGAAAAGGCGTGGGATTTCAGTGGTTGAAAGGCTGCGGTCCCGGAGTCTCCGGTTCGGGAAATGTCAGGATTCGGCGGGGACTAAGGAGGCGCCTCCGCCGGGGTTTCTGCGCTGCTCCTCGGAACCTCGGGGCTCGCAGCGTGCGCTGGCTCTCGCGCATATTTATTAAAACGCCTGTTCCAGCTCTGAGGGCTGGAGAGGCGCGCGGGGTTTCCCAGCTGCGCCCAGAGCGCAGCGAGAGCACAAGCACGGGCACGGGGCGCCACCTACGGGCGCTGGGGCCTCCCTGCCGCGGGCTCGGGAGGAGCGGGGAAGCCCCAGGAACAAGGACGGCGTTTGCTGATAGTCTTCGGCGACCCTCAAAAACACTCCTAGCCTCTGCAAAAAATACAACAAACGATCTTTTTTGCACCCGTGCTCCTAACGAAGTGGGATGGGATGCTTGAGATCTTGGCTCTCACAATCCACTCTGCCAAGCTGGTACAGGCTGCAGGCGGTTGGCACAGAGCCTTCCTCTGCCTTCCCGGGCCTTACACTCCATACCTCCCTTAAACAGTACGCACACGGCCACTCACTTTGTGACCTGACTTTAACAACCATCCTTAAAAGACACTCAATCCTCTGACTTGCACAGTATTCCTTTGCGTTTAGGCTGATCAATAGGAACCATAAATGGGACAATGCTACGCCTAACAATAGAATGAAAGTATTTCTTAATTCCTCTGGACTTCACACCAAACCCTCTTCCATTTGCAGATTTTGGCCAGACTTCTGGTTCCACCCTATCACCTGGGTCTTCTCAGGTACCGGTCTGTCAAGGTCTGATTTCCCACAGGCTCTCCCAGGACTCTTCTCCCCACTAGAGTTGCCAGGGCCTCGTCTCTAGGCCCCAAAGAGGAAATTCATTTGCCTCAGTTAGACCTAAATAGATGCAGAGGGAGACAGGGTCACACGCAAACCGAATTCCATAGTATTGTCTGAGATCATTACCAAGTGTGGTGCTACAAATCTGACCAACCGAACTTCAGGGCCCAGTGGCTTCTGCTTCTCATGAAAACTAGTGCAAAGTAAAAAACAACCCCCAAGCCTGTTATCCTCCAAAGGATTGTTGCTGAAAACTGAGTGTTTTGCTTCAGCATTTTTATGACATGCCGGTCAGATGCACTGGGCTTTGAAACTTCTTCAAAGCCATGATATTTTGCTACTTTTTTTGGTGAGGTTAACAGAATGGAAATTGTTCGATCTTGCTTTCAGATCTTACTGTCGTCAAATATTGCATCAATTTGACGACCGCTCATTGCCAGGATAAGCAAAGCCCCATTATTCCATTACAGAGAGCTCCGATCTGAGCGCAAGCATAAATAGCAAGGGACATTAAGTGAGGCACAGACTGATAATTAGACCAAGTTGGGAATGCTAATTAAGTAGCAATACCTCTCACACATCTATAAATCTTTAAATAACAGCTCTTTTAAGCGACTGCTTTAAATGGTGTGTTATGAGCATTTCTTCCTACTGATACAAATGCAAGCAGACAAGAACCAGAATATTATCATTATCTCTGGGGTAATAAAACCCAAACCCTTTTCCAGGTGGCAAGGAAAAGTAAAAACCTCTAATCGATACAATGAACTCAGTTACAGAATTAGAGCAGTGAGCATTCTTATATAATGGAAAAAAACCGGGTAGGCTTGCAGTTACTTTTAGGAAGAAGCTGATAACAATGAAGAATAACAGATTGAGAGCAGTGGAACATTACCTACTGATGAAGTGACTTCTATTATAAGGAGACATTTAACTCATGATAAACTTTAATCCATAAACAGGCTTAGGCAAATTTTCATGATGTAACTAGATTCAATGGAAATGTTTTCCAGTAACCGAAGGGATTAACTTCTCCCATCCCATTTCCATGTTACAAGTCATTGGCACCATCAGTGCGAGAACAGTAGTGGTTCACTAGCCTCGTAAGTGTGGGCACACGCTCATAGACAACCAGCGTCAAGCCCTTACTGGGCCTGTCATGGGTCAGATACTCTTTGGAATGTAACATACAACTTACCACCCATGATCACCCTGTGGTGGGCAGGTGGCCACAGTTTCAGAGGAAAATATTCTCTTATGTTGGGTTGGCCAACAAGTTTATTTGTTGCCATTTTTCCCCCATAAAATGGTTCTAGTAGTGCTTAGTTGTCTTTAACTTTATTCAAAACGACTTTGTTAGATTGTGACAGATGTCCTATCAGCATGCACTTTTAAAAATTATGAAAATTGGTGAATTTTTGTGTAGCCATTTTAATATTGAAGCTGGGTGAAAATTTTGGCATATTATGCTTTATTATCTTAAGAAAGGTAAAAACGCACCTGAAATGCAAAAAAAAAAAAAGATTTGTGCAGTGTAGGGAGAAGGTGCCATGACTGATCGAACGTGTCAGAAGTGGTTCGTGAAGTTTTGTGCTGGAGATTTCTCACTGGATGATATGATGCTTTACTGGTCAGGTAGACCAGCTGAAGTTGAGAGTGATCAAATCAACATTACTGAGAACAATCAATGTTGTACCAAGTGGGAGATAGCTAACATATTCAAAATATCCAAATCAATCAAGTTATTGGTGGAAATGAAAGATGTGCCAAACTGATCAAAACAAATCATAAATCGGACAATGCTACGCCTAACAACAGACTGAAAGTATTTCTTAATTCCTCTTCCGTTTGCAGATTTCAGCCAGACTTCTGGTTCCACCCTATCACCTGGGTCTTCTCAGGTACGGGTCTGTCAAGGTCTGATTTCCCACAGGCTCTCCCAGGACTCTGCTCCCCACTAGAGCTGCCAGGGCCTCGTCTCTAGGCCCCAAAGAGGAAATTCTTTTATTTTACTGAAAAAACTACTCTAACTTTTTGGCCAATCCAATGTTTTCTTTAAGTGGAGAAATGTGGCTGGGATAATTCAAGTTCTCTTCCTTTCCTTTGCCCTAAGTAAGACTGATCTCTAACAGTGTAAATATATTTCCTTTGGCTGGAATCCATCACTGAACTATATCTTTAGTACATCATAGCCTTTTCTTGCTGCTTTATACTAATGTACCATATTTACCATTTTATTACAGGTATATGGTAAATGATCTGCTACTTATTTTATACTCTTGGATGTAAACACTATATACATACTTTCAAAAATAAATATGGAAGCATGAATAAGTGATCATTTTCTTTTAACTTTATTGGAAAATACTTGACAGATATAATTGTATGCATTTAGAGTGTACGTACATTGGAATGATCAGATAGACACGTACATTGTAGAATGATTACCAAGATCAAGGTAATACATCTATCACCTCACATAATTCACATAGTAAACACTGTTTTTTAATGTGGTGGGAATGCTGAAAATTTACTTCCAGCACCTGTGAGTTGTACAATACCGTGGTATTGACTATAGTTACCACGCTGCACATCACACCCCAGGAACTCTCACACCTGAGAACGTGCAGGTGTGACCCGTGTCCCCCATGTCTCTCTCCCCGCAGCCCCTGGCAACCACACCCCATCCATTCAATTCCCTGTTTCTATGACATTAGTTTTTGTTGTTATTATTAAGGTCCCTCATAAAAGTGAGATTACAGTACTTATCTCTGCCTAAGCTTATTTCGCTTCGCCTTAGCAGCCTCTCGGATTCAGCCGTTTGGTCACCAATGGCAGAACTTTCTTCCTTTTTAATGACTGAATATGTTCGATGGTGTCTATGTACCACGTTTTCTTCGTCCGGCCATCTGCTGAAGGACCTCTAGGTTGTTTTCACATCTTGGCCGATATAATCAGTGGTCCAGTGGACACGGGCCGCAGCTGACTCTCTGAGGTCCTCATTTCATTTCCTTCAGAAAACAGCCAGCAGTGGGGTGGCTGGATCACATGGTGATTCCATGTTTACTTTACGGGAAATGTAAGTTTTTGTAATTATTAGTAGCCATATTTTCAGTGTGATATAATACCATTCTAGAGGGTTATTAAGGTGTGGAAAATAATAATTCTAAATACTGCACACCCTTAAATTACACAGGCTAAATTGTTAATTATGCGTGTTTGTATTTCTCACTGTAATACAAAAATATCAAAGTGCATATTCATTACTTTTTTAATATTATATCTATTTATTTTTAGAGAGAGGGGAAGGGAGGGAGAAAGAAAGGGAGAGAAACATCAATGTGTGGTTGCCTCTCACACACTCCCTACTGGGGACCTGGCCTACAACCCAAGCACGTGCCCTGACTGGGAA